GGAAAGTAAATGGCCATTACGTGTATGTTTATGAACTTAGAAAATGCAACAAAATGCAACGAGTGTTTGGTTGGTTTGTTGTTTTATGCCGCACTCAGCAATATTCCAGCTCTATGGCAACGAGGGGATGTGAAAAGGTATGACCCGGACAACTGCCTGACATTGTCTGGACATATGGTCTGGATGAGTGTCCGTACGGAAGCCTTTTCATACGCTTATCAAATAGTAGTAACGTTCACCATAGACGCTCCTTTTTTTGTGACGTCATATTTTATAAATATTAATTTTGATACATATATTTGCACGTGTTCTTACGGTGATTCGCACACAATAAACTTTTGTCTCTTTCGACATTATCTCTTCGGAAATCCGTGGCTGTCATACTAAAAGACCTATTTATGGCTATAACTCAGACATTTCTGTTCAAAATGTAATGCAATGTAAAATTAACAAGTCAGTAATAAGGCTAACCACTTATATTCGTTTTGCAATATTGCGTCGGGTAGCCTAGTGGTTAAAGCGTTCGTCCGTCACGCCGAAGACCAAGGTTCGATTACCGACATGGGTTCAAAGTGTGAAGCCCATTTCTGGTGCCCCCCGCCGTGATATTGCTGGAATATTGCAAAAAAGCGACATAAAAACCATACTCACTCACTGAACTTTGATTTAAGTTTAAAACATTTCTACGCACTGTAAACATCATCTCTCCACCGAAATGTTTGAAACTGGAATCTTATGTAGATCGTAGAAGTAATTATTGCATACAATAATGACCCCAAAATGTGATGTTCTAATCCTATTTTCATTTCAGAGGTGACTAACGGGATTTGGTGGTCAGGTTCGCTGACTTGGCTGATGCATGTCATCGATCCCAATTGCGTGGATCGATGCTCATGATATTAATCACTGGATTTTCTTGTCCAGACTCGATTATTTACACAGACCGCCGTCATATAGCTGGAATATTGCTGAGTGCGGCGTTAAACAACAAACCAACCAACCAATCTTTAGGAGCCGTATTGAAAGAAGACTTCGTCCATTGTATTCAAAATTTATCCGCATTTGGTTTATGTTTCGTCCTCAGTAGTAAAGCAAAAATATTTAAACGTCAGTGCTAAAAATAACCTACTTTAAGTGGCTGTCGTTTTTGACATTTTAAAATGTTGACTACATCCAAGTGAGCTAAAGTGCTGTGGCACTATTTGTTTAAATCTACTATGATCGCATTTTTACATCACCAGTTCGATTATGTACATCCAAAAACCTTGAAATAATACAACTTTGGGATTTGTTGGGATCATAGTCATTCTGTCCAAGAGAGTTTCAAAGTATGCCCTTCCTATAACGCTCATGAACATCGAGCCTGACCACCCGATCCCGTTAGTCGCCTTTTACGGCAAGCATGGGTTGCTGAAGACCTATTCTACCCCGGATCCCACACAATTCGGATCGATGACATGCATCAACCAAGTCAGCGAGCCTGACCACCCGATCCCGTTAGTCGCCTCTTAGGACAAGCATTTGTTGTTGAAGACCTATTCTAGCCCGGAGCTTCAATGACCTGTCCATTGCTTCAATGACCTGTCCATTGTGTAAGGATCTTTTAAAGAATGAACGCGTTAACCCTATATTGCAAATAGAATGTCAGTGTGAATACCAACTGATTATGGGATCATGAGCACTAAACTTAAATAACTACATTAACAAATATACTTGTTGAGGTTCCTTCAAGGCATCTATTCCCACGGAAGCTATTACTGGTTGCAATTCATCCATACTTGTTATGGCTTTTCCTTTCAAATTCTTTGATCGTAAAAAGTTCAAACATTTTATGGTTTAACAGTTCTTTCATGTCCGTCGTCACCGTCAGCACTGTAAAGTGGATTGTTATGTCACAATGTCCTGATGTCTGGCGGGTAAACATGTTTGGATTTAGAACCGTATTTCAAAGAGGGGAGTTTTTTTTGTGAAACTCAATGATATTCTTCATAACCTGCATGCGCGTGAAACACTAATGATATGGAAACTGGACGCTCTATACGTCATCAATGCTCGATCTGGGGTTGGTTGGTTTGTTAGACCCGTGAAGATCCGGGGTAGCATAGGTCTTCAGCAACCCATGCTTGCCGTTAAAGGCGACTATGCTTGTCGTAAGAGGCGACTATGCTTATCGTAAAAGGCGATTAACGGGATCGGGTGGTCAGGCTCGTTGACTTGTTTGATGCATGTCATCGTATCCCAATTGCGTGGATTGATGCGCATGATGTCAATCACTGGATTGTCTGGTCCAGATTATTTACAGACCGCCATCATATAGCTGGAATATTGCTGAGTGCGGCGTTAAACAACAAACAAACAACAGACAATGCAGTGATGACGTCATGAGCATCGATCCACGCCATAGGGATCATGACAGGCATCAACCAAGTCAGCGGTCCTGACCACCCGATCCCGTTAGTCGCCTCTCACGGCAAGCATGGGTTGCTGAAGACCTATTCTACCACGGATCTTCACGGTTCTGCTGGAGGATCAATCGAACTTAATCTGTAAAGGCATATGGGTCTTCCCTCTGCATGATCAAAAGGTTAAATCATATCGCACAAACTACTTTTCATCATCCTTTTTTGTAATTATGATAGATGGATACATTCTTGATTTAAGCATAGGTTTTGTGTTTTGAGATAAGTCACAGTGAAATTTCAGACCCATATCGTTAATGTTTTAGCCGTCTACATTCCATTTATGTTTACCATTATAAGATTAGCCCTTAAGTTGGGATACATGTAACAGATACATGTATTAGTAGCCAACCTCCTGGTTATTTATTTTGCTCTTATTCTGCGTTGACCAAGTAGATCACTGATACCAAAACTGCTGCTGTCAACAATATCGGGAATACGTTCGTGGTAAATGTGGATACCACAAATTAATATGGACGATCCATTTGGAGATAACCATCAAATAACAGCAATAGTCTATTTATGGTGTGGGGCAGCAAAGTAAGCTAGTCTCATCAGGGCTCGACTCGAGACTCCAGATGCACTTTCATAGGCGGTACTGGAAACATGTAACACTACCAATGGCACTGAGGGACTGCCAAGCAGATAGGATATCTTCCGGACATCAAGATAATTACTAGCAAACTGTATCTAATTGAAGCATCATGGCGGTCATCTTGTCGATGCTGGTCTTGAGCTTCGTATGAGCCTCCAATGCCTAATTTGAAATGACGAGTGAATGAGTGAGTTGGGTGTAACGCCGCTTTTCACAGTATTCCAGTTATATCGCGGCGTGTCAGCTTAATGTGGGAGGAAAGCCCGAAGCGATGCAGGTCTCAGACGTTTACCACTTCGGTAAAACCCACGAGCACGGATATGGTGCTGACAAACCTAGAAACATAATTGGGGCGAACCGGGATTCGAACCCACAATCATAGGTTTCTGGCGTGCCCAAGGGACGCAACTCTGTATAGCGAATCGCGGCGCCTTAGACGACTGTGCCACTCGTGCCCCCTTTGAAATGACGAAATCTATTAATATAGTTGAGACGCAGTTTGCAATCATGGATGACGATTAGTGGCTGTTGCTGGAGGTGAATGTTCTGCTTATACTTCATAAATCATGTAGAGCATGTAACTGTAAGCATTTCAATAATTCGCTGAAGCCTTTACTAAATCTTGAAGGTTTTGTCCAGAAATACTTAATGATACAGTGACATCTGAAGATCAAGTAAATTATTCACAGACCGCCGTCATATAGCTGGAATATTGCTGATTGCGGCGTTAAACAACAAACAAACTTATGTTTACAGGTGACTAACATAGGACTTGTTTGTACAATTTGTGACATGGTTGGGTGTGTCATCGTTCCTCGCCGGAGTTTATCGTTATCCAAGCTATCATCCAAATTTAAATATTGCTTGAACAGCTTCCATCTTACCTCCATGTATTAAAAAAGCGCCGTCGACATAAAAATCAGCCGTAAACCTTTCACCATTTAAAAAGCTTATGTTGATATTGTGGGGTACTTGTAAATGTCATCTCCTTTTAAAACAGTGGAGTCCTGTGTGCCTGTTATGCATTGATTCTCTTACACGTATTTTTTTCTGTCTAAACTGTGCTTGTAGACGATTATTGCTGGCAGTTTAGTTAATTGCAGCTGAAGTTGGAAGATGTTTCCTTGCGTGTGACGTTGTTGTGTGGGTAGGATCTCTTCTCAGACCGACTACGAACATGAGAATACGTAAACCCTCCTTCTTGTCTTCTGCAAATGTTTTTAGTTTCAAAGTGGCGTTGAGCCCAAGTGTATTTTCACTCTCTTAAATTCGCTATTTGAATAAATATGCAGAGAAACTGTTACACCCAGTTAGTAAAGGCTATTGATATCAAGGCTAACCTCAAATAAGGGACTGACGTCATCATTAACTGTTTCCAATGTAATTAATATGGTTAACCAAAAAAACAAAACAATAACTAAACTACCAAAATATTCGAAACACCTTTCATCACATGTGAGAAGTCAAATATATTTTTTTTGTCAAGAAACCAGAATAATTATCTCAAGAAATGGAGAAAAATGTGTTTTACTAGACCCCTTGAAGAAAAATGTTATCGTTTATAACTGTATAAAGCTTTTACATAAAATTGTGTGAAGTTAATCTTTACCATTACCACGACCAATTGTTAAACAATTATCTCAATTATCAATTTAGTACAAATTCTCTTCCAACAATCATGTAAAGTTGAAGTACGCCCACTTCAAGGATTCATCATATTACAGTTTACACCCATGATCTACAGTTGTACTTCAGGGGAGTAATTTAACTAGAGCACTTTGTATCCCGTTGATTGACATCGTACGTGAAGGCACTGACGGTTTCATTAGGACAGGACTGTGGGTATTCGTTACCAAGGCGAATCGCTTCCCTCGCCATCAGGAGGAAACGTCCCCGGGCAGAGTGAGCTAGAATCAAGGTCTGTAAACGCAGCTGGTTGTGTTACTGACATGTCATGTCCATAAGAGGCGGGCACCGCACCTGTCAGTTTCAGCTCAACCTGTGTGTTGCACCACATAGCATCACTGAGTAGCATTATCAAACTTCATTCACAGCGTGCTGCTTCTTCTCCAAGTGTGAGGCGAGGATGCCGAGGGTGCTGTCAAGTGTCTCTTGCGATCCCACTCGTTTATTGACCAGCGTGAAGTGCTTGAGTAAAAGTGTCGCCACGATGTTTGTTTTCCTTCACTTCGAGGAATAGTTACCAAGAACAGATTGGACATAAAACTAATAGTGAGATATTGTGACGATAGTGTGAAAGCCGGGAGACTGCTTTGTTTTAGAATTAAAAAATGGAGATAACAACCTGGACAACGTTGACTGAAAATGCGACGTCTCCGGATAACTGGACGGACTTGTCGGAAAGGCTATTTTATCCTTTAGTGAAACAACCTACCTACATGGTGACAATATTAACACTGGCATACGGTACCGTCTTCATACTTGCTGTCTTAGGGAACACCAGCGTCATTGCAGTTATCTATCGTGATCGTCGCTTCCATACCGTAACATACGTCCTGCTGGCAAATCTTGCTGTTGCTGACGTAATGGTTGCTGTATTCTGTCTACCCATTACGCTGATGACCAATCTCTTTAACGGTGAGTACCCTATCTTACCTTGATATTTCTGGAATCACTAATCGTGGTGTGTTACCTTCTTGGAACATAATTCACAAATTGATTGTTAAGTGGATGTGATTATTTAAGTAGAGAGTCTAGCGTATCAATTAGGTTTACTTAACAAGAGGTCAGTGAGGGGTCAGCGTGCACAATGTGTCACATCTGAGAAGTTCCGGTATAAGCAGGATGTATTTAAATTAATCTTATGTTCGGATACACTTCATAACTATGATAAATTCAAAAGTACGTGCATGTAATGCAAGTTAAAACCTTGTAAAAATGGGGTGAGGTGAGGTGAAATGAGGTTTAACGTCGCTTCCAAGATTATTTCACTTATAAAGCGACGTGCATGCACGTGTTTGTACTAGTCCGGAGTGATGCCGATTTATAGTGCTAGCCCACTGAGATACCATGCCGAATTATATACCATGGATACCCACTCAGATACGGTATACTGACTCCGAGCCGACCAGTCCATGTTTTAGCCCCTTAATACCCAGTGCCAAACAGGGTTACAGCAAGTACTATCTTTTAACGTCTTTTGATGTGACGCCGCCGGCGATCGAACCCCGGACCCTTTCACTCTCCGGGCGGACGCGGTCATCATATGAAACTGATATATATTGATTTGTGGTTATTATTGATTTTGGTCGTCCATCTTCATTAAAATTTAACAACATGGCTCAAATAATCATCTGACATACATGCATTTAGAAATTGCCATTTGATACAGTTTCTTAATCGAGTTCTTGCATCGAAATGCTCTACCATATGAACAAAAACGTATCATTTTAAGGATTAGCTACTGGAGTTAAATCATAACAGTTAACCCTAATAAAATTATGTATACATTCAGGTAACGTAAATTTAAATCATCAGAAATAATCATAGAAACATGCTGAAATCCACATTGACAGGACCGCCTCCGGAATCCAGTGAGGAGAGCGTCTACCCGGGGAGAGCGAATGGATCGATCCCTGGTCGCGTCATATATTTATTATTTCTTGTTACCATGCCTGGCACTCGGCATTCAAGGATTCATTGGATCGCAATCATGTAATGCTTCTGATTGGGGTATTCATGTTAAACTGCGGCGTGGTTTCTCAGTGGGCTAGCACTATAAAACTGACACGAATTCGGACCAGTACAAGCAGATAACCACACACCCACCCACATGCTCTCGACGCACATTTCATCTTCTGGGAAATGAATGAAAAGACCATCACTGACAACTTGCAAAGGCATGTGTCAAATTTGAAAGCATGTTGTCATTGTGACCTCGTTTAATTTAATGTACGTCTTCAATCGGGGAAAAGGAATCCCTTTAAACCGTAGGCTGGAAAGAACATCAGTCGTTGCCTGTCGTTTAACCCTCCATCGTGTGTGTGTGTCGGTTTTTGATTGTCGTAAGAGGCGACTAACGGGATCGGATGGTCAGGCCCGCTGACTTAGTTGATGCATGTCATCTGTCCCAATTGCGTGGATCGATGCTCATGATAGTAATCACTGGATTGTCTCGTCCAGACTCGATTATTTACAGACTGCCGTCATATTGCTGAGTGTAGCGTTAAACAACCATCCAATATCTCACTTTCTCTCCGTTAAAGGCGACTAACGGGACTCTTCTCTCGCTTCGTAAAAGGCTACCATGCTTGTCGTAAGAGGCGACTTACGGGATCGGTTGGTCAGGCTCGCTAACTTTTATGCATGTCATCATCCCAATTTCGTGGATTGATGATGCTCATGTTGTCAATCACTGGATTGTCTGGTCCGGCCTCGATTATTTACAGACCGCCGTTACATAGCGGAAATATTGTTGAGTGCGGCGTTAAACAACAAACAAACATCGAGCTGATTTCATTCTGGTCTATGAACAGACCCTAGAAGATCCGGGGTAGAATAGGTCTTCAGCAACCCATGCTTCCCGTAAAAGGCGAGTATGCTTGTCGTGAGAGGCGACTAACGGGATCGGGTGGTCAGGCTCTCTGACTTGGTTGATGCAGGTCATCGATCCCAATTGCGTGGATCGATGCTTATGACATCAGTCACTGGATTGTCTGGTCCAGACTCGATTATTTTAGAGACCGCATTCATATAGCTGGAATATCGCTTGAGTGCGGCGTAAAACAAAAACCAACCAACAAACTGTATAAACAAAGCTTACTGCTATAACTTAGATTCCAGTTATATACCGGGGGTATGTAAATACTCAAGTCTAGACCAGACAATCCAGTGATTGGGATCGATGACATGCATCAACCAAGTCAGCAAGCACGACCACCCGATCCCGTTAGTCGCCTCTTACGACAAGCATAGTCGCCTTTTACAGCAAGCATGGGTTGCTGAATACCTATTCTAACCCGTATCTTCACGGGTCCAACATACATTTGACATACATGGCATCCATACCAGCATTATGTATACATTGAAGGTGTCCCCACACCTAATGAAACGGTCGTGTTTTAACTGTATCCGCTTTCAAGGCACAGCCGGCCCTGCAAATTAAGCCACGCCCCCTCATTCGCGCTTTTAAGATTCGTTTGGGTTGTCACAAATACAGACCCCAAAATACGTACTTTTATTCAAGCACAACAGCGTTAAGTTTACTTTTTGACACGTTTTTCTCGGCCTACATGTACGTATTGTACATCATACTGGCTACATAATTAAATAAGAAACATCTATTACTATTTTTCACAATACTTCCGCTCTTAGGACACGTAGCGAAATCATTACATAATGAATAATATCCTAATGCCTCACAAAATATAAACCTAATTGGCCACGCACATAATATAGTAGCATAATAAATGTTTTAAATCTGCACATTTGTAACTGGTGCGAAGAATTTTTATATGTACAATGGAGTAGTGATCCGTTTGACAGTTACTCATGATACCAACCACTGGTTTTCTGCTCCATATTCGATTATGTACAGGTCGCCGTATCGTAGATGGCAAATTGTTGACTGCGGCGTTAAACAACATAAAAACAAATGGATAGGGGTCCCCGTGGGGTCGTTGATCAAACTATCAACCACTGTTTTATTGTGTCCCAGAATCAATTATTTACAGACCGCCGTGACTTAGTCGGAATATTGGCGACTATGGTGTTAAGCAATGAAACTGTCTTGAACAAATCCTGTTTCTTCGAATCTAATTAGAGTTTTAAACTAAGTGACAGTACACCATCCACCAGTAAAAATGTATCGGTATGCTTATTATTCTACCTGCTCATATTTCTCGCTCGTAATGTTGTTAAAGCGCATTTCGTCAGAGCTTTGTTGTCATTTCAACATATAAACGCCAGTCCAGAACAAAACATTTGGCCTTTTGATTTAATGAACATTACGCTCTATCTCTGCAATAAAACTGTAAGATATCAGAAAAAATAAACTGCTACGTTTGATAAAGCCATAGCTAATGCAGTTTACTTCAGAATTTGTGATATTTATAATAACGTTAAATGTCACGTGAGATGATATGGCGCAATACCCATTACTCCCTATTCTTAACCAGACCGCCTCCGTTGTCTACTGGCAGAGCGTCTGTCCGCATAGCGGAAAGGTCGGGGGTTCGATCCCCGGCCGCATCAAACCAAAAGACGGTGAAAGAAGTCCCTGTCTGGGACTCGGCATTAAGGGGGTTAAATAAGGACTGGTGTGCTCGGAGTCAGTATACTGTGTCTGAGTGGGGTATTCATGTTAAACTGTGGCATGGTGTCTCAGTGGGCTAGCACTGTAAAATCGGCACACACACATACGTGCATTCACATCTCTACGTAAGTGCAATAATGTTGAACGCAACATTAAACCCCATTTCACGTCTCCTTTTTTAACCATTCCAACTTTAATTGATATTGACATACCAAACCTCTATTACATAAGTGTGTATGTCCATAAGGATCCCAAGAGAGATCATGTAGTTTGAGTGGGTCCAAGCACACAATTTATTATCACCGTATCGGACTGTTTGTTTGTTGCTGGAGTGTATGTTCTCTCAATTACTGCCTACACACTTGGCGATAACGATGCAAATGTACGGTGCCTGTGGTTGTTAAATCAAGCTGTGATGTTAATGCTCGTCCTATGGGCAGGCTCAATGTGATAAGCTTAGTTTCATTACAACACGAGCGTAAGATCTATAGAATCAATACCCTGAGCAAAGGATTTATATCTCAAATGGATAAATGTCGACATCAGCTATAAGCAACAGAGCACGGGGCTACTCAATTACGTAAATCCCGACCAAAAGATACGATGACTTGACAGTATATTAGGTCTAGCTATAGACGACATCGCTTTATCTTACGGATAGTACGTTGATGGAGAAAAGAAATGATTACACGTTTTGTTTAATCTCATACCATACTCAAATAGCTAATAATTTGGTAATGTAACATCCCTGTACGTCTAACGTACAATCATAGTTACCAAAATAGCTGACTCTTCAATATCGACGAAGATCACGTTAAGGTCTCCTCGTCTATTAGTATCTGCCCTGTCTTCCTGGGGCAGTAATTATCACTTTCCCGTTAGAGGTAACCAGGTAATGTGTCATTGGACCTTGTGTACTGTAAATCTTTGATATTCCTGACGGGTTGGTCTTCAGACACAGAATGTGATGATCTTCCAACGACCTTTAAACACGCCAAAAACATCTTCATTGAAATAAAGAACGCCGCGATTACAACACAACAGCATGTTAAGATTTACTTGAGCATAATGTAGTGACTGTATCAAGCAGCATACTGGAATGGGAAGCTCATTTTTCCGAGGCAAGTGACTTAACTGACTGTAAAAGTCCAGTTTCCAACCCTTGCCGAATTTGGCTGGAAGTTCCGGGCTCGACCGTAGCGCAACCAGTGGCTATTACGAGCTATGTCCCTTCTATGTCCCTCCTACTGACCAATCAGGTACCACCTCTCGTGTCATTTGCATTTGCTTCAAATAAATGGCGGCGCCCTGTGGAGACGATCGA